CAAACCACGACACGCTCGTACACTCATACAATTCTCTAATGTGTTTCTGGTATGTGTACAGCGAGTCGAAACAAAATCCTCCATCTGTTGTACGGTTTTAATACATACCTGCCTAGTCGCTTTTAGTTTTGTGCTGCCCGTTCTGAGCTGCCCCATTCTGAGCTGCGCCGTTCTGGACTGCGCCATTCTGATTTTTTACTGTTTTCGCAGGAGCGAATCGCTTCCGCAGTGCTGTGAGCATCTTCACGAGCCTGAGCACTAAATGAATAGATGAACTACGCATCGGAGGCAATACACACCAAAACCAGTTGAGACCCTGCAGGAGCACATTCCCTACGCTAATTAACGCGAGGGCTGTGGTCGAGATCTCTTGCCTGTGGTTGTACAGACTCTGGAAGAATTGGTAGGACTGAAGGTCGCCGTTTTACGATCGAGAACCGGGAGAATGGGCAAGGCAAACGTACCGTGTAGCCGCCGTACATGAGACGAACAAAGAAGAAGGTCGAGATCAGGAAGATACCGTTGACAAGTTGGAAAGTACTGCCAGTGCGGTTCGTCTTGTCCAGGGCCCTGTGGACGATGAATACACGATGGGGATGAGATCGAAAAAGGTTCACCAGTGGATGTTAAGGAAGAAAGTGCTCCTGTAAACAGGTTGGCGTGCAAGTTAGAATCTTGATGGCGCTACGTACGCTTCCCATAACAGACATCTCGAGGCGTAGTACGCCAGAAACGGTTGCTGCACAACCGAAAAATAATTCAGATGCGACGCAAAACTAGAGGTGGCTTACAAACGAGAGTAGATAGATTGCGAAGCATGCGAGGCCGTGCAGCACAAAGCCAATGTCTTCGAAATTGAAGATGGCGTCAAGCGAGTCCCATAAGAAGTACCTGTTGAGTGTGTTCGAAGAGGCGTGCAGGAAGCGAACGAAACCAGGACATACCCGGCCGCGAAAGCCTGGACCGTTCCACTGCGCTCATGCCAGCCGAACACGCGATCGGCGTCTAACTCGGGCAGCGCGAGACACCGCAGTGCGAGGGGCAAAATAACCGCCGCATGAATTTGAGAGCAGATGTGGACAGCCCTGGAGATAAGCTGAGACTCCTGCCTCTTGCAGCGGGATCCAATAAGTACCAGTTATTCCGGTTGCGCGCTCCCATTCGCGTCCATTGAGATGGGAAGAAAACGCGGCCAAGTAATGGGACGGCAACAAGATGGACTAGATTGAAAACAGCAAACGAGGCCAGGAAGAGAGGGAGATGGGGTTGAAGCTTTGGGAGCGCCTGGTCTATAATTTTCTGTAGGTCCATGGCGGCGAGAAATACGCGCCGTATTACGCTGCGCAAGCATCGTGTTAGGAACTTGGAAGCAATCAACGCAACGGCCGAGGTCGGCATCACCCTTTGTTTCACACGACGTTTTCCGATCTCCTCGGAGTTGTCTCTCTAACCCGGTGTTCAGTTAACACCTGCTAATCTATTTCTCAGCCCATATTCATTTAAGCTTGCTCTCAATATGCACTGCACGCAACTAGTGCAATGGGCAGACCTGCTCCGAGTCGGACTAAACTTGCCTTTGTCTCGCTATTTTTGCAATTGGGTCGAGCAGTGCTTGGGCTTCAAAAAATTCTGAGCACGGCCCTAGGTAGGGCTGTGATTGTCAAGGTAGTTAGCTGGAGCTTCATCTTCCCCGTATCCATCTCCGTATAGAACTGCAAGAGCATTTTTAAAACCTTCGAAAATGGCGGGCATTCTGGCTACAGCAATCCACCAAATGGCTCCCGTCTAACACACCTCAGTAAAACGAAATGAACCCAACTTGAAGTATCAAAAAAGCTCCGCGTTTATCCTTAAATTTCTACCCATAGGGTTACACACCGCTCAAGTCCGGTCGCGGGTCGGGCTCGGGGCTTCAAATGTCCGACTCGATACATCGATTTTCTGCGCCACTCTTATCCAATAGGCGGGCTCAGACCGAGCGGTTGCTGGCAGCTGCCATCCTGCTGTTAATAACAATGTTATAAAAGCTCGGGCCAGCACGGAGTTGGGCATAAACCATGCTCCATTCTCTGACGCTGCTGGATGCCGCCTTCCTAATCTTGGGCATTTTCTGTCTCAAACGTCTTCTACGTTCCCGACGTCTGTCTTTACCTCCAGGACCACGCCCTTGGCTCGGATTTCTGGCCCTTCCCAGCGGAGCAGACAGAGAATGGCGTATATATGGTAAATGGGCTGAGAAATGGGGGGATATCACCTCAGTTACGGTCTTTGGCCAGACCTTGATCGTCCTCAATTCCCTCAAAACTACCACAGAAATTCTCGACAAGAAAAGTTCTAATTATTCTGACCGGCCTATCTCTCAGATGGCGGGTGAATTGGTTAGAGAAATTGCACTTTTTCGCTGCGCTCCTGACACCGTGAACTAGGTTGGTTGGAGCAAGGGTATGGCCCTAGTGTCCCATGGAACTCCGCAGTTTAGATGGTCTCGCAAGAAATTTCACCAGTCGATCGGCAGTCAACTTAACGTGAAAAAATTCTACCCTATCGAAGTCGAAGAGTACCGCAATTTTTTACAACGCCTCCTTGAATCACCAGAGAGATTCCTTGACCACATTCGCTTGTAAGCTGCACATACGACAGTTCTGCTTGGGCTAATTTTCTTGTAGAACAATAGGCGCCATCGCTCTGCGCATTACATATGGATATACAGTTCAGGGTGAAAACGATCCTCTTGTGAACTTAGTAACCCAAGTGATGGAAGACTTTTCCGCGGCCATCGTCCCTGGTGCCTTCTTGGTCGATCTGCTCCCAATATGTCAGTACATTAACACGGTACGGTGTCCTTATTTCGCCTGATTACTTATGCAGTGAAATATGTACCCAACTGGATGCCTGGAGCTGGTTTTCAACGTAAAGCAAAAGCCTGGTCAGATCGTAGGGTCGAAATGCTTGATAAACCATTTAACCTGGTGGGGCAACAAATGGTATTTATTTTATGGTCCATGGGCTCCTGAATCTTCTGACATCTACCACAGGCACAAGGATCAGCGCAGGATTCATTCGTTTCGATCTTGCTGCAACAAAATCTCTCGGAAGACGAAGTCCCCTATCTCAAGTGGGCGGCGGGCAGCATCTATGGCGGCGCAGCTGACACAGTGAGTTCTTCAGAATTCGGAGAAGCTTGTGTCACTGTAAGCTCTAGACGGTCTCTGCCGTGTCCACTTTTTTCCTACAAATGGCACTGCACCCAGAAATTCAAGCCAAAGCGCAGGCTGAACTCGACGCAGTCGTAGGCAACCAGCGGTTGCCTGGGTACGACGATAGGCAGCATCTACCTTACATAGACGCGCTCTGCAAAGAGGTCTGTATGAATTGGTATTTCATACAAGCTTCTACTAATTCTTTAGGTTTTTCGCTTCCATCCCATCGGTCCAATGGGCACGTATCTCGGTTTCGTTTACTTTTTTTGCCTTACGCTGCGTAGGTCTACCTCACCGTGCGACGGAGGACGATATTCATAATGGCTATCTGATCCCGAAAGGTCAATTAAATTCCTACTCTTCCTCCATCTCCTCTCACTCGTGCGTTGCAGGCTCGCTGATTCTTGCGAACATCTGGTAAGCACATCGTGGACTCACATCTGCAGCTAATAATTGCATGGCGTAGGAACATGGCTCATGATTCAGAGGTATATGCTAACCCGCTGATATTTGATCCTTCTCGATTTATCGCGTCCGACGGGCATACCCCCGAACCCGACCCGCGAGAGCTCGTTTTTGGATTTGGGCGTCGGTGCGGAGCCTCTTTCTTTTTCGAAAGACCATTTTAAGCCCTTCCATAGCGTCTGTCCAGGTACACCCATACGTTATGCTCGTCTTTACCATACCAACGAATCCAGGTAAACACATCGCGGATGCTTCTGTTTTCTTGGCCTGCGCTATGACGCTGGCAACGTTTACGATATCCAAGGCTGTCAGAAACGGAGAGATCATAGAGCCGGTCGAAGACTACCAACCGGGCACCATTAGGTAAACACATTTGCGAGACTTTTCCAGCGTATCTCTGACAACAGTGCAGCCAACCCGCTCCTTTTTTGTGCTCCATAAATCCTCGTTCTAGTGAGGCGGTAGCTTTGATTTTTTAGTGACTCGTATGCAGGTCGAATGTACTCTTAGATTTTCTCAATATTTCCTTTTTGGGAATATTGGACGAACTTTGTTTACTGTTGTTATCCAAGACTGTGATCGTTCGCTGGGCTGACTCTAGTGCAGTTCCCTGGCGGATATAGATTGCGTTTTTTTGGGGGGGAAAGGTCGCGAGTCCAAATTTTGGTCTAGAATTTCGACGCGGAAATTCACAAGGTCGTGCTTTTTAACAAGTGAGACCGGGAATTAAACCTAAGTCTGATTCTGAACGCAAAAAAATTGTGGCTCAACCAGGAGTTCAACCGGGGACTACTCTCCTAAAAATACCAGCCACCAAAAGGAGCTCAGCGTCAAATTGAACCCGTGGCTCTCAATGTCGCATTTTCTCGAAGTTTCCTTTTTTGGGGTGTTGGACGAGCTTTGTTTGGTGTTGCTATTACACAGTATGAAGCAGTACCTGTCGCTCGCTGGGCTCTCTTGCAGCCAAAAAATCGCTTTATGCTTCAAGTCTTTCAGTTTACACATATCTCCAGTCTTAACGTTCTTCCCTCGTCCTGAACTGAACCGGTAATTTCTTTATTTCATTGCAGTGTTGTACTGTGCGACTGTCCTTGGAAGGAAAGAGAAAACCACTGTTTATTTACCAACTCAAGGCATTCCAGTGCTCCTATAGGGTGATACACCACTACCACCACTACTTTTCTTTGAGTACATGAGTATACATGGTTGGGGCTTCTACAAAAAAGCAAAATGGGACTGGAAGAAGAATCTTAAATTCTCGAAATATTCAGGGACGGTCTGGAAACCATTTAGAATAAGGGGTCTCTACACCGGAACTTAAAAATATTACAAAAAGGGCTCAACCGGGAATTGAACCCGGGACCACTCCCAGTCAGGCTTACGCAAGAGTAAGCGGGTATAACCCGAAGGGAGTATCATACTTCTAGACCATTGGGCCGACAAATTGGCTTGTCTACGTAATCAATATCATCCCCGCGGAGAGATTTTTTTTTGAGCGCTTGGGATAATGAAAACCTTAGCATTCCAAGCTCATTGTGCTGGTTATTTGCCAGTCATCGCCAGGGAAGATGTTTAGGCAAAAAGTGGCAGATCGGGCGGATCGGCATACTATCACAGATATCAATAAACAAGTGTTTTCTTCAGTTCACCTTATTGCGCTAGTTTTTGGCACACAAAAAAATCACAGTAGCAATTCATCCAACATGGAGTCTCTATATCACAAATTTAGAAGGTTATGAAGTTTAGAAAGCGAGAACATCGGGGAAGTCGGTATCTTCCAAATTGGGACACAAACACGAAAGTTCTTAGTTCATGGCCTTTAAATGGAATAGCTCCGACAGTTACCATTATGGTGTTTGCCATTTTGTCCCTTGGAAAAAACTGAATTTGTTGTTCAGCATTCCAGACAAGTCTTATGAGCGTACTGAGTGTTCAGACAAATTTCCTGTGCCGTCAGCCTCTTGCGAGGACCTGTTTTTGTTTACCATCACATCAACTAACTCATCACTAGTGTACTGATCCACTCGGTCTGCCACCTCTTGTGTTCAGGAGGAAATGCCGTTACGCACAAAATATAAGTAACCAGTATGGGACTCCGGCCTAAAAATTATTACTTGACTTTCATAAATTCCTTTCTAAGTGCTGTAATGAGGAAGGAACCGGGATACTCGAGATGTGACATCCGCGACTAGCAAATACGCTTGTTCGCGGCGCACCGGATGGCACAAATGGCGCGGTGACGCGCCTCGTTGTACGGACTGGAAATAATCAGTACGGGCACCAAAATAAAATCCCAGCACAACACGCACACGACCACTGTATTGGCGGTGGGCTGCTCCATCGCTCCCTCGCACTTCTTTGCGGCTTCTCCTAGATTACTGCTGCCCTGCTTCATTTTTGACCGGTCGCGCGTGTATTTTGGGTGTTTGGGGTTGTTCTGTTTGCATTGAAATACGAAAGTGATGACGCCGCCGTGTCGTTTGACGGTGATAGAATAGTGCTTCCACGTGCCGGAGGTGCATTTTGCGAACTGCTTCTCTGTAAGAATTAATTTAGACGCAAAACGAGTCAGAGAGCAGGCGACGCACCGATTATTTCTTGATCTGAAAGCGTCCAAACCTCCGTGTCTGTCTTGTCCTTGAATGAGGTCTCGATTCGACGTTTTTTCGTAGGTGGTTCCACAGTTGCAGGAGTGTCCCGGGTGTTCTCACTCGAGGCGATGAAGTCGGCCGCAGTGAATTGGTCGTTGAAGGCGGATGGAGGAAGGTCTCTGAACGATGGTGGTGGTGTAGCCCGAAGGTATTCGTACGCTCGTGTAATGGGGTAAATGACATGTCTTGGATAGTATTATGGAATAGTTATAGGTTATGGAAGGTATCTAACGCGTCGACGCTGGAGCTCGACGCGTCGTGGTGGAGGTAGAGGAAGAATGGTGCCTGTCATCCAACGGATCACGTCCATTCCCAATCCATCCATATTTGTAAGCATCCATCCACATCCATCCACGGATCACGCCGTCCAAGTCTGGCCCTAGTTCAAGGAGAATTTGAATGGACTGGCTTAACTGCCCAAATGTGGTACAAAAACAAGTCTTATTTTATTCAGAATATAGACGGTAAAGGCGACGAAACAATGGGTGACTTCCCGTAAGATTAAAATAATCCCCAGGAATATTTTCTGAATATTCGCCGACATGCCGGCGCTCCCATCAGGACCCCATCGGCCCAGATCTCGCTTAGACCCTCGAATAAACCGTCACTTTGAACGAATCTATTCGGGGGGTACCCCCCCCTCGAATAGACTTGAGTTTGATGGAATAAACTGTTTTTGGGCACACATCTGATTGTGTGGCTCGCTTGCTGCCTTGTCCACTCGACACGTCTTCAACTTGTCTACGACTCGACATGGGTTTCTGTTCTCACCCTCGGCACCCTCCGCCTGCCTGCACTACTTATCCTAGTCTATCTGGGCCTACCTTTTTTTTTCGCTGCACGGCGCCGGCCTGAAAGGCCTCAATCAATCGCATATTTTGCTGCCGCACTTGGCCAGCTGGCTGCCGCTGGTCCATTTCAAGTTCTATGTCCGTTAGAAGCGGGAAAGTCGCGTTGATGTTAATTGCCGGCCGAGACCCGTACTGTTGTTGAAGACACGTTGTTTGCATATTGTTTGTGTAGCGCGTTTATTCTAGATAATCCTCCCAGTCGTTGCGGGAATCGCCACCGAATATCTTTGAACAGAATTTCCTTAGCCGACATCACTGGCACCGCTGATTTATTCCCCAAGATTATTTTAATCTTACGGGAAGTCACCCAATGGGTGACTTCCCGTAGGTAAATCTATTCCTGCCGAATTTCCGAGCTTGTTTGAGGGTGCCAGTGATGCGATCAACCTGAGCGATATTCAAGTCACTAGTATGTTTCCCGCAAGCAAAAGATTATAATTTAATGTGGTGATTCAAACATATCTGCCTCTTTCCTGTTCTCCCTCGTCCCTCAGTGGGTTTTCCCAGCTGTACGCTGTCATTCGAGCAATGATTGGACATGCCGAGGAAATGCGACACGATATGCCGAGGTCAACGGCAGACGGACATGAATGTAAAAGCGTGACCAAAATAGGTTGTGGTGGAGGTCGGAGGAACTCTAAGACATTTTTCAAGGCCTTATAATTGTGTTCCATGTGTTGGAAGGACATTGAGAGTTGATTGAGAGTGTGTCCAGACGTCAGCCGAAGTGCCGGAAGTGACGATCAATCAATGTCGTCCGAAAAGGTTTTATTCCATCATCCAAAATTCTGCCCCCCTCCAGGATCTTATTCTATTCGAGTGATGGAGAGTAAAATGTGTCCGTTTTGGGATATCCGAAGTGATGGGGTCCCGACAGCTGTCTTGGCATCCCTCCGAAATATTCCTCCAGCATAAATTTATCCTACGGGAAGTCACCCAATAGAAGATGGTGGTAGAGGATTTAGAGTTCTTAGCATCGCTTACCTCGCAAACCAATGCCGAGAATTAGTGGCAATTCTGCAAGGCTACCTTCCTTTTTGGACTGCCTACTCAGTGGAAGGAACAACTTGAGCAGTCTAAGAAATTATCCGGCCGAGAAGCCAAGCTCACTGGGCCTAGTGGCTATTTCAGAAGACAAAATTTATCCATTTCAGGTTCTGCTGAATCCTTTGACCCAGCAGTGGCCAATTTTGCTGTTAATGGTTGTGCCACGAAACAATGAAAAAGAACCGACTCGATCACCTTACTCGACGACCTCCACAGGGCTGCTCAGAAGGTCTTTTCGCCTGGGGTCAATAGGGAAGCAAAGCTCCAAAACAAGTGAGGTATTGAAAGGTCTTAACCACGAAATATTGTATGACGGCCCAGAGAGTTATTAGAAGGGAACCGGATGCATTGAAAAGCTCTTATATTGCATCGAGTGATGATAGCCAGACTCGGAGTCAATGCATATTTGTAGTGAATTGAGAGAGGACAAGAGATGAATATTATAGTGTCTCCCGAAGAGAAAACAATTTCGCGCCTGGATTTCTTGAATTAGCGTCATAATATGGCAACAAGACATTGATGCCTCTACGGGGTAGTTGGGAGGAAGACAATTGCAAAATCTCCGAAGAAGCCAGAACCGAGCCAGCTTTGCTTCTTGCCACGCCGCGGCCACTTCTAGAATTGAAGTTCGGAGAGCCCAGGAAGATAACAGTGTAACACAACCATCGTGGCAAGTTTTACGGGTCCAGCACTTCCCTTCCGACAGAACCTCCAGAAACTCGAACACGGGCTGCGGGGGAGATAGTGGGAGTTGGTAGGCCCGTAACCCTGCGCATAATTGGATCTCGAGAAGTCTGACAACGCGATGCAAGTGAGGTGACTGTTGAGGTTGAGTTGTTGAATTATGTTGATCGCACGATCGGCGGAGTTATGATCTTGACGCTCTTCTTCAACCATCCTTTCAATTTTTGTTACTCGCGCTTCGTTTTTTGTTTTTCTGCCCGACGTCACCCGAGCATCATTAGTACTCTACCGGATCTCTAATTGCGAACTTGCTGAAAATCTGGTCACGGTGCACCAATTGGCGACGCTTCTGCCACATCACATCACTTAACTCGCTCTATTCTCGTATCCCCAACGTATTGCCTTAGACACTGATATCTTGGGGATTTACACGGACTGTATTCCCTACCCACGCGCTGCGCTATACTCGGCCCTCGATCGAATATCTGCCAAGTTACTTGATACACTGACACTTTTTGGGATCACTTCTTGCACGCCTTACCCCCCTGCCAAGCTGCGAGATACACATGCATATCCGGTACACAGGCTGGATGCAGGAAGCCGTGCGACGCCCCGCACACTCAAGGTGTTTGTGTTCTGCCCTGATATCTCAGGCCCCCTTCGTGCGGACGCTAGAAGACTCATTTTCCGGCTCTACTCCGCCCGGCAACCCACGTATTCCTTTCGGACTCGATCTACTTCGGAAATTCTATTCCATTTTCTCTCGCTCGTATTTCTCTGGCTCTGCAGCAAGTCACACCGGCATGACTAGCGCGTCACAATAGTTTTCACGGCGGAGCTGTTATGTATGATGCGGATACTCGTCCAGAACAACTTAACTGAACACGATACCGGATTTTTGCCTTTCGGCATGACGATACAGCATCCAGCCTTTGACGACAGGCTCCCGCGCCGCAACCCATCTCCGAGCCGCTGATATTTTCTGTCAACCCCGCACTTCTTCGCGCGGCGTGATCTTCGTGTATTGACTAACCTGCCTCCTCGGTCTGCCTTCGGGCGGTGGAACATCTTTGCGGGGTGTGCTTCTTGCGTCGAATTCATTACTTATGGCAACACCATCTGTTCACGTCCGGGGACTCCCCGAGACACAAAGAAGAACGATGTCGGCGCCCTCAATATCTACCAGTCGTCAGCCCTTCTGTGCA